ACATTATGCTCACCATGACATGTCCACTAAGTGCCAAAAGACGCGTCCTGCGTCTTGGACGCATGCGTCCAGATGTAGCGTCTAGGACGCAGGACGCGGAATGTGGGCATTTAGGACGTAGCAAAAGACGCAGGCCCGGGCAGGGCAAAAAAAACCCCCAGGCAGCCCAAAAAAGTTCTTGTAGGGTACGGGAAGGGGGTGGGGGGGGGGCGCATAGCCAACTTTCATTGCAAACGAAGGATTGATAGAGCTTAAACCTCTAGGGTTTAAGAAGGAGAATTGGGAAGCTAAAGAAAGTGAGCACAAATGAGTGGTTTCTAGGACTAAATGGGCTTGGTGTTGGGCCACAATGTCACATTGGTTGGGTTTCCTAGATGTGGAGTGGTTGAGAGGGACTTAGGATTCACAATTTTGCATGAAAGGGGTTTGAAAGGAGTTGGGTGGCTGGTTTTGTAGGTCGAAATGGGTCTAGGGGGTCGTAATTTCGCGAAAATGACATTCGCGTCAAAGGTTTCGCCACTTCATAAAAACTCATCCTTGGACAAGGATACTGCTCTAGTCTCTATTCTTGTACCATCTTCCTGCCACTTATATTTTCTTCTTCTCATTGTGCATTCACCAATCCATTTTCTACAAAAACAAACGCAATAAAAAATCTTTTGTAGTCGAACGAACATGTTCGGTTCAATGTGAACAGTCTTTAAGGGACTGATGTTCAAAAGCAATGTGGGCATATTACATACAGTAGATCCTTACAGGGCTACCAGCTTTGTAAGCAAGCCAATGCCAGCAGGGATGGAGTTGGTGAGCTGGTTACCCGTGAGAAAACTGTCGAGACAAGGGACAAGCAGAGACCGTGCAAAGGAGATGGATAAGACAAATTGTTGAGAAGGTAGGTATGACGGTTGTTGTAGTGGCATAAGATTAGACATGAGTACGTGTCCAACTCGGGCTGGCCCGGTTCAAACCTCGCTGGACGGATAACCAACCAATAATAGTTTCTAGTCACTTCGGGTCAAGCTGACCTCTACCCTAGTTGGCCCATGATCAACCCGTCTATACGGGTCAGGCCTGTGGGGGTTTGTCACGAACCTATGATTCACATTTTTTACAATCCGATGATTCGGAACTGTTGTTTGTTTCCTCCGATGAGTTTGAACTTTTGTAGTGCAAACACTTGTTGCCAAATAATCTAACCACAAAAGGGTGCGCACCCTGTTTTGGGCAGCCCTGGTCCGGCCCTTGCACATGCCTAACTCATAGTACTGACCTTGATTGCCCATTCCAAAATTGCTTCTTTACAAATGAAAAATGTGTGACAATATTAGAAGGCAAAAAGATTGATTTATTAGGTGAAAAGGTGCATACATAGTTGGGAGGAGAAGCTCGGAACCATCAGGAACTTTGGAAACTTGGAACCAAATTACAAGAAAGTAAGAGCAGTGAGCTTTGTGATCGAGGAGGGCACGGATCCTGTCAGCATGTTGTACTGGATTTGGCTGTTGGTGGTGTGGGGGGTAGACGCACGGGAAGAGACGAAGTGACAAAGTCGAGAGCGGAGACAGCGTGTATGGAGGAGTTGGGCTCCGTAAGACCCGGCAGTCAGCTTGAGGAGTAGTCTGCTCGTCGGTGGGCCTTGACAGTCTTGTCCAAAAGATGCGACACTTTTACCCCATCCATGTGGGGATGGCAGATCCGCAAGGATTTGGAACATGGTGACACCACTTCTCATCGAGCATTTGTCTCTGGCTCGTGCAAAAGCCGCAGGCGGGTTCTATTGGCTCGGCCAGCTTGCTACAACGGACGAGAAACGAGCCGAGTCAGCTCCTCGAGCGGAGATGAACTCGTCTTGTCAGCCCACCAGCTTGCTTGGCCCACACTTATGCTCATGTGACACAGAGGAGCCTTACAGGTAGACCTGTGCAAAGTGACGAGTCAAGCAAAACTCGACTAGGCTAAGGTCAAACTTGTCCCAGTGTTTGAACCGAATCGAGTAAAACGAGGACGAGCAATTTTTGCTATATGGCATAAGCGTTGCCCGCCGTTCTTTTGTTTAACTCGAACGAGCATTAATGCTCGCCTCGCTGCCCTATAACTGCAAAGTCAGGGCTCCTAACAGTTACCACGGACGTATCCAGCTAATTAATTAGGGAATATCGGAGTAGACTAGCGGGGAATGGAGGGGGTTGTGACGGGATCTGTAATTGGAAAGGGTGGTTGGGTTGGGATTTTTTGTGGATTCGGCGCAGTGAACAGAGGCAAGTGGTGGCGATTTGGTTGGGAACTCAAGGCGGAAATTCGTCGGCGAATTACAGTGGTCGGGGGAGCTTTTGCTCAACCAAAGCAAGATCTGATATGAGCAGCGAATGACACGACATGAGGCAGACATCGCCGATCTCCGCGGATCGGCGGGCGAAATCGCCGATCTGCGCGGATTGGCGGGCGAAATAGTGCTCGCCGAGTACAAAAAGCTCGACGAGTAAAACTCGAGTATGCTCGGCCAAGTAGTTTTCGCCAGAATGAAAACTCGTTACTCGCCCCTTAACGAGTAACTCAGACGATGCCGGGCAAATAACTCGCCCGGTTGCACAGGTCTACTTACAGGGATGACAGGGATAGAAGTGAGCCAATCTCCACAGGGATTGAACCCGTGAGCTGATTATACGAGAGAGACCTGCCATTGCGTACGAATGCAAGAAGGAAGGACCAGACCAGCAGGTGGAGGTACACCGTGGTGAAACACAAGGGCAGAGACCCATGTGAATTGGAGGACGGCGGGATTTCTATGAGCCTCTACGATCATGCGTTAGGATGAGGAGAGGAGTGCTAATGACATTTCTTGATGAATATGGCCTCTGAAACTAGTGCAGTCAGGAGAAATCAGTGCGAATCTCACTGTGAGATTGTGATCGGAAACAGAATGGGGCACAGCAAAGCAAGGCTAGATAATCTAATCTGGGCACCGCATTTGAACCACAACACATCCATAACATTCTATTCCCACCCTAGCCGGCCCATGGGGAGACGATATAGGTTTGGCCAGTGGGGAGGTACGTCATGAACCTATGTTTGACTGTCACATGATAGCTCATAAGAAAGTAAGGCCAGTGAGCTTTCCGATCGAGGAGGGCACCGATCCTGACAGCATGTTGTAGCCGAGAGAGCTGGTGGTGGTTTGGGGGGTGGACGCAGGGGAAGAGAGGAGGTGACAAAGTCGAGAGAGGAGATAGCATGCATGGAGTACATATGAACATAAGTCTGAGTCGACCACTTGGCTTGTCTGCTCGGCTCATCAGCAGGGCAAGCTGGGCAATGTTACTGCTCCACCGGCACTGCTGCTGGCTCAACGAGCCGGGCTTGGCAAGACCCGGCAGTCAGCTTGATGGTAGTATGCTCGTCGGTGAGTCCTGACAGGCTTGTCCAGAATAGGCGCCACCTCTACCCCGTCCACGCGGATCTGGCGGGTTGATGCCAACATGGGTTTCTGAAGCGGTAGATGCCGACCCCCAACGATTTGGAACAGTACCGGCCGGCACGGGAAATGTTGATCAGCTATAGGCCGGCTCCGGGAAAAGCGGGAGCCGGGTTGAATTGGTTCAACCAGCTTGCCAACAACAGACGAGCCATGAACCGAGTTAGCTGCTGGCCCGGCTCCTCAAGCAGAGACCAGCTTGGCTTGTCAGCTCAAAACGAGGGGCTCGGCCCAGACTTATGATTATGTGGCAGAGAGGAGCCTTACAAGAATGAGAGAGATAGTAGAGAGCCAAATTCCACAGGGATTGAACCCGTAAGTTGATTACTCCTGAGGGACCTGCCATAGTGTACAAATGCAAGAAATAAGAACCAGACCAGCAGGTGGGGTTTTACGGGCAAGCATAAGGACAGTAATTCGTGTAATATGGAGGATGAAGGGATTTTCCCATAACGACAAGCCTCTAGGGTCATGCAGTAGGACAATGGGCACGTGAGGCAGTAGTTCAATATTCAAAACTAGGAAAATGGCTTCTTAGCTGTACGCAAACTCGTTTGAAGCAGTGGAGTAAAAGATTCAGGGCTGTAGTTACGGGCAAGCATAAGGACAGTAATTCGTGTAATATGGAGGATGGAGGGATTTTCCCATAACGACAAGCCTCTAGGGTCATGCAGTAGGACGATGGGCACGTGAGGCAGTAGTTCAATATTGAAAACTAGGAAAATGGCTTCTTAGCTGTACGCAAACTAGTTTGAAGCAGTGGGGTAAAAGATTCAGTGCAGCAGTGTCGCTGTAACTTCTCAAGGCTTCCTTCGACGTCTAGAGACTTTGATTTGCAACAAGAAGCCGTCAGCTCAGCTCTTTCAACCTACATCTAGGGTTGAGCGAAATTCCGAACGCCTGTTCGGTTCTTTGCCTAAAATGTTCGGGCCGAACATGTTCGGTGTTCGGCCGAACATGTTCGCCGTTCGCCCCAGAATTTCGGGGCTCCAAGCCGAACACGAACATGTTCGAGTTCGACTTGGGGGCCACGCGAACACCAAAAGGGTTCGCGTCAAAATTGGCCGCGACCAAATTTAGGTCGCGACCAATTTGAGTTTGAGCTCATTTCGTGAGCTCAAACTCAGAACTCGTTTTCACCTTAGCCCTCCCTCACACAGCCGCCCTAGCCTTCTTGTTTTAGGTGCAAGTGCACGCCGTTACTTCCAATCTACACGGACATTAGATATAGGACTAGGGTTTACCGTAGTGTAGGGTGTTTAGGGTAACTTTAAGGTTCAGTAGCATCTCCGCATAGGGATCAAGTAGGGCGTGCTCTACGCCGTAGGGTTCGGATCGGGCATTTCAGAAACCTTACCGTGCTGGAAAACGTTTAGGAACGTGCGGCACGACGAACGCTACCGTTGCACCGAGGGTGTTTTAGGGTTTTAGGGCCGAGGGCGGAGTTATGGCTTCCAGCCCTGGTGGATCCATAGGCCTAGGTGCAGGCAGGGCTCAGGGCAGCGCACCAGGTTCTCCACCACGACCTATGGAGGGGCGAGTAGGAGATGGACCGGGAGGAGCCGGCGCGTGCTTCCTTGGGGGGTTGCTTACCGTACTGGCGCCGACCTCTCGTCGCTCTTTCCGTTACGACGGCCCTCGACCCCCTCCTTCGGGGCAGACGCAGCCGGAGAGTGGCAGTGAGGAGGAGGATGAGGAGGAGGATGGTGAGGGCGAGAAGGATGAGGACAATGAGGGGAGCGGGGATGACAGTGAGGCCGGGTGGGACCCAGAGACGCATGGCGGTGGGGAGGGGGGAGATGATGATGATGAAGACCACGAGATGGATGGGTTGGAGCCAGAGGGGCGGGAGGAGGAGGTGGGAGAGGGTGGTAGAAGGGCGGCGACAGAGGCGGGATCACAGCATGTGCGTGAAGGGGGAGGGAGCGTGGGGGTTAAGGTGGGGGGAGAAAGGCCGCGACCATTAGGGAGCCGAGGCTGAGGAAGAGGGCGAACAAGTTGAGGGAGCGGGCGTATCCCTGCACGTTCACTGGGGAGCCATTGGGCGAGGGTGTGATCGCTCCGGAGTTCCTAGACGAGGACGGAGGGTCCGAGAGTAGTAAGGGGACTGGCAAGGGTAATAGGAAGCCGGGGTGGCAAGTACTGATGTTCGGACCGTTAGGGGCAGACGAGAAGCGTCAGTGCAAGATTTGCACAGACAGGATTTCGAGGAAGCAATCCACAACAACACCCGGCGAGCGGCACTTTGCGAGCTACCACACTGCGCACATGCATGTGTGGCATCACCATTACCACAACCCGTCCGTTCAGTTGCCAGGGGAGACGTTTCCCCGTGGGGGCTACAAGGGAGTGCCGGATGGCTACGTCTATCAGTGGCCACATGCCAAGACTTGGCCGCATCTCGCCAAGGTGAAAGGGAAGGCGTCTGGTGGAGGTCATGGGTCAGGCGGGATCGAGCGGTTCATGACAACCAAACTGACCTCGGTGCAGCTACGGCAGGCGATCACGAAGCTGGTGGTCACCTGCGATCTCCCCTTCCGCATCGTCGAGGCCGAGGCTGTGAGTGCCCCATCCCATCCCATGCATGATTGGGCAGTATGTGGATAGTGGACGGGTCTGGCCCTTTGTGTTTTGACTATTAGCGTGTGGCCCAGTGCCATATTATGTCAAACCCATCCCCCTGACGTTTACTCCCCTCTCCCTCGTTGTCTCTACCCCTCACCAGTTTCGGGAGCTTTTGATCCTGCTAAACCGCAACTGCGCGCAGAAGAACTTCATCCCCTCGCGCTGGACGGTTTCCCGCGACACTGTGGTCTATGCGGCTGCCGCTCTTCAGTGAGCCATTGCGGAGATGCTGGCGAAGGAGGGGGAGCTGGGGTGCAGGGTGTTGTACACCATCGACATGTGGACGGCGCCCAACAACAGGGCGTGGCTAGTGGTAACTGGTCACTGGGTAGACGAGAATTTCCAGCTGCGCACAATGGTGTTTGAGTTCCGCGAGATTCACGGGCGGCACACGGGCAAGCAGATGGCGAGGGTGGTTGAGGAGACGGTGGTGCAGTGGGGGTTGGAGACGTCTTGGTTTCACCTCAGACAACGCCTCTAGCAACACTGCTGCTTTCAGGTGGATGTCGGAGGAGGGTGGTGGCCAGTGCTTTTTCAACTCGCGCATGCACTTCCGGTAAGAAAGGGAGTGTGCGTGGGATGTGCGATGTGGGAGTCTGGGTGCGTCGTTCCTGCGTGAACAACTTGTGGTTGTACGGGCGGGTGGACCAGTGCGGCTTGAGTAGTAGGGTGTGTCGGGTCTATGCCAATATGTACTCACACTTCCCTTTCTCTCCGCCATTAATGTTCTGTGATGTGTGCAGATGCTTGGCACACGTGATCAACCTTGCAGTGAAGGCAGCTCTCGCTGTGACCACCATCCGCAAGTTGTTGAAGATTCTGAGAGAGATGGCGTCGTGGATAGGCTTCTCGCCGCAGCGCTCAGGGAAGTTCTTGGGCCTTCAGCGGACCCTGAACACGCAGGCCAACCCCGCCAAACCGAAGCCGGCATTGAAGCTGGTGCAGGACAGTCCCACGCGCTGGGGGTCGACCCACGACATGGTCGAGCGAGCTGGGGTTCTGCAGGAACCCATCTCTGTCTTCTTTGCCCAGACACAGGTGTGTGTGTGTGACATGTGTTGTGTATGCGGTTTAATGTGTGGGTATGTCGGGTTGTTTTGTTCTAGCACTTGCACCACTGTTGGCCATGCTTGACCAAACTTATCGGACCCCCAACAACCTCAACCACCCTACTTTCCATCTTAACACCCGCCAACCCATACCCTCTACCCGACAGGGCTTGTCGAAGGCTGACAAGGCGAAGGTGGAGACCCTGCGACTGACGGACGCAGACTGGGCGACTCTGCATGCTGTCAAGACGTTCCTCAGCCCATTCGCCATAGTCTCAAAGGCGGCGGAGGGAGCGGCGTACCCTACAGTGGCGATGGTGCTGCCGTACTACAACGGCCTGATCGACGCTATGGAGTCGCGCCTTGCCAAGGGGCCATCGGCTACGCTGAAGCCGATGATTGAGGCGGCGCTGGGTCTCTTGAAGAAGTATGAACTGATGTCCAGCAACAAGTTGTGGATCGCGACCTTCCGGCACCCTTCCATGAAGGCGGCGTGGTTCGACGACCCGCACTGGGAGACGCTGCATCCCGAGACCGACCGGAGGGCGAGGCCTCGTCCCTCGTCAGGCGAGGTGATCCAGCTGGTACGCGACCGCGTGACCGAGTACCAGGCCCGGGCTGCAGCGCTTGCACCTCGGCCGACCCCACTTGCCCCAGTGACGGAGGAGGAGGAGGGGGACGCGGCGGATGACGACGAAGACGCGCAGTTTCTCCCTAGTCGCCGACGACTTGCGGCGCGTCTGTCGGCGAGCCAGAAAGTGGGGAGGGGTGGGATGGTGCAGGATGACGAGGTTAGCAGGTACTTATCTGAGAGGGTGCGGTGTGACGTGTCAGCGTTGGAGTATTGGCGCAACGCCAGCAACATGCAGACGCAAAGGCGCATGGCCCGGGATTATCTTGCCATCCCTGCCACGTCCGCGTCGAGCGAGCGCGTGTTCTCCCTCGGCCGCAACCTCATTTCCTGGAAGCGGCACCGCCTAGCCTCTCAGAGGACGCGAGCTGTCATGATTCTCAGATCATGGTACAGCTCACACCCTGGACAGAGGATAGGCGAGGGCCGCCGTGCAAAAGGCGAGGCACCACCAGAGTTCGCCATTGAAGGCGAGGGGGAGGAGGAGGACGACGAGGAGGAGGAGGAGGAGGGGGAGGAGGAGCAGGAGGGGGTGGGCGCTGGCGACACCACTGACGCGGAGCACGCTGTTGTTGGTAGTAGCAGTGGAGTTCAGGCGTAGGACTTCATTTGACAGTGACTTTTATATTCACAGAACATGATGGTGTCGTATGCTTGTGTGCGTTGCATGAACACAGATACACCCTCCACACCCCTATCTATCTTCCCGACCCTACAGATCCCCTGTTTGACCACTGTGACTATAACGAAATTGCCCAAGGGCGAACTCGAACATGTTCGAGTTCGCCCACAAAAACAAATTGTTCGCCCCCTTGGGCGAACGGCGAACACCTCCTGTAAGGCAAATTGTTCGCCGAACCGAACCCTGTTCGGTTCGGGAAATGGATATGTTCGAGGGGGGGCGAACCCGAACGTGTTCGAGTTCGCCCTTTGCTCATCCCTACCTACATCTGCACCCCGAACTTTTTCCCAGTACTTTTACTCTCCCCTTGACTTCTCCAGATCCACTCTCGTTACATATCCAATCCCAATCGGTCTACTCCAATAACTCTACTCACATGAGGGGGGGCTCATGTTTTCTGCCGATGTAAGCAACGGGCCCAGTAACACATTTTTCCCTTTCCCTATTTCCCACTTACATGACTTCCATATTCGCAGACACTGAGTAATTCTAGCATCTGCCCCCCAATCCCCCCCCCCGAGTGTGAGGCGCATTTAAGCTAGCATGAAAACACGTAGTGCATAATACGCTAGCCATAAAAATAAGAACTAATTCACAGACCACCTCTTTGTCCCATCTGGGAATGCTGGCAGTGATGGGAGGAACGGAACACAAGTGAGAAAGGGAACGAGCAATGGGGGAAGAGGCTAAGGCCAGTAGGGCAGAGTAGAGGGCAGTGCAAAAAATGCAACCGACAAGCAGCAGTGGAGAACGGACGAGTGATGCCTGAAAGAGCAGCAGAAGCAAGAAACCTCACAGGGAAATCATGCTGGTCAGTGAGCCAATGTCAGCCGGGATAGTGCCGGTGAGCGTGTTGTTGAAGAGCCACCTGCACGGAAAGACAGAAAGGGAGAGAGAGAGAGGGATTGTGTGTGTGCGAGCGTGCAGACCGGCGTGAGGACGGACAGGGAGAGAGAGGAACAGAACAAAGAAAATACGTGGTACAGCCTTGAGCGGTGTGCATCACACTCACAGGTGTTTCAGCAGGCTGAGCGCAGTCACGGCGGCAGGGATGCTGCATGGCAGGTGGTTGCTTGCGAGATTGCTGTGAGAACAAGATGACAGTAGCAAGGAGAGCAGGCTTAGTGGTTGAGCAAATCACAAGGGAGAAGAGTTAGGCATGAGCAAATTTTCGAACCCCAAACACGTTCGAGTCGAACATGTTCGTTTCGAACATGTTTGAGGTGTTTGTTTTGGGAATAATGTTCGCCCGAACATGTTCGAGGTTCGACCCGAACATGTTCGGTGTTCGGAAAGTCATAGGGGGGAATTTCCGAACACCAAACATGTTCGGAAAGTTTCCCTGCTTTTCTGAACATGAAATCTTGGTTGGATGTATTTCCTACGGAAAGCTCAGATCGAGGTCATTTCGACCTCGATCTACTTTTTTAGGTTAAGTACAGAGGATTAACGATTAGTAGGCGCATTTGATGCCGACTTCAGCCCGACTTAATGGTTCCTGATGGTAACTTAGGTTAAATAGTCGTCAGTTAGTCGTAACTTAGGGTTTCACAGGATGATCGGTTAACGACTCCAGTCATAAAATAACAGATACCTTTGGGTGTTAAGTCCTACACTATCGTTCGTACAAGTGCGATTTGAAGGCTTCACGGCTAAGGATCGGGTGGGAGGAGCAAGGGCGGATGGGGGAGGCAATGGGGATGGAGAACCTAAAGACGTGCTCGAAATGAGCAAGTCCACATTTTCGAACATCAAACATGTTCGAAATTTACCGAACATGTAGATGTTCGGCAAACCTAAAGACGTTTGCCCACCTAAACCAAACACCGAACACTGAAAACCAGAAAATAATGTTCGGCCGAACCAAACATGTTTGATTCGGTTTTAGTTTGGGGTTCGCCCGTTGCTCATGCCTAAAAAGAGTAGTGTTGTTAGAACATTAACCACGTGGCCCGCCCACCTTTGCGACCAGACCGGCCCGTATTGCCCCCGCCCATCACCGAGCCTTAGCCATGGGCCCAAGGTTCAAAATACGACCGTATTTTGAAATTTTGCCGTAGATTACGGTGTCGTAAATTATGGTAAAAAATGGTCAAACATTGTAATATCATGTTGGTTCAAAAATACGGTCGTAAATTACGACCGATTTTTTTTTTCCGAGTTTGCAATAGCGAATTTCGGCATTTCCCAACCGTCACCCTGGGTTTGAGACATTCGTGCGGCCCAATGCACACGTGTTTGTTTTTTTCCCGAGTCGCGCATGTCATGCATTTCTCGAGGCGCGACATTTTGTTTTTTGGCGAACGTTTAGCTGGTCTGTTGTCGTTTGTGTATTTCGCCGAATCGCAATTGTACAAATCTGCGTGATGCGGTAATTTGTACATTTGGCGAACCGTTATCACCAGTCTACACGTTTCGCCAGGTCGGTGGGTCGATTCGCGGCCCCTTCGTTATTTTCGCCCGCGTGTGCGACACAACCCAATTTCGCGCTGCGAAACATTTTTTACTAATAGCGTTAGTCCAATCTCCATCCCATCCCATCCCCCGTTTTGCATTTTCCATTCGCCAAAGCAACATCAATTCCTACAAGGTACAAATAGCAGGGCCAGAAACTCACTCGACAAGGACATCTTAGTAGGCTTTTTACAGCTTCAATCAACATCCCTTTTCCACCATGGACAGACCCTTCTCGGAGGTGTGGGAGCACGTGACGAAGGTTACTTGGCCTGACGGCTCAGTCACCGCGACATGCAGCTATTGCCCTGCTACCGTGACCCCAAATGCCACCTGTATTAGAGAGCACATCTACGGGACCCCTCATTCAAAGGAGAAGAACGTGATGCCGTGTCCGCCCGATTTTAGCCAAGCAGCTTCGTGAAGCCGCCGAGAGGGAAAGGTCTTCCACACAATCCAGTTCCAACCGTGCATCTACCCACGGTCGAGATGCAGCGCGTTCTAGGCAGCGGACATCCGAGATATGGCGGATACCATTGCCCGCTCGCGGTTAGACTACCTGCGGGCGGCAGTTGTGGCAGAGAATTATTTATTCTTCAACGTTTCCAAATCGCGTGCACTACAGGCCTTCGTTGACGCGGCGGTCGTCTTCGCGAAGCCCTACACACTCCCAACCCTGTACAAGGTGTCCGGCCCTCTCCTCGACAAGCTAAGGGCGGACTCCGAGGAGCTTGTAAGGCCGTTGAAGGAGAGTTGGAAGACGACCGGGTGCAGTCTCTTGGTGGACGGGTGGACGTGCATCAAGTCTCGCGGGATGGTGTGCGTCATCGCCCGCAACGACACCGCGCCCATGATTGTGGACATTGTTGACTCACAAAACGGCAAAAAAACAGGATAATACCTCACGCGTCTCATCCAGAATGCAATCTCCGAAGTGGGGAAGAACCTCGTGGTCCAGGATGTCATGGGCAACGCATCTAACAACCAAACCGCGGCTAACAAGCTTAGGGAGGAGTTTCCCTCGGTTTTTTTCACCAACTGCACGGCCTACTCTTTGGACCTAATGCTTCACGACCTAGGGAATATTCGGCCCGTGTTAGAGCAAGTGCATCGTGTCGTCATGATGATCAAAGGTAGCGCGTCCGCCGTCGTTCTTTTCCACGAACTTTTCAGCAAGTTTACCTTGGTGCGGCCGGGTGCGACACGTTTCGGCACTCAAGTCGTCATGCTACGCCGATTCCTGGAGGTGAAGAGGGCTCTCCGTGCCATGGTCATCAGCGAGGAATGGGAAGTGGTGCCGTGGCGCGGCAGGTTGAAGGGCAGGAGGTGCGGAAGCTTCTACTAGACGACGTCTTTTGGGACTGTGCTACGACAGTGCTCCGCCTCCTCACGCCGGTTTATAAAGTGCTAAGGGGGCTGACGAGGTAATTCAGGCCGCGGGGGGGGGATGTTGCAGAGCGCATGAAGCTGCACACACAGCTGGTGCAGTTCCACAAGGGTGAGGGCCGCGTGTGTTCGGATGACGCTCGATGGGCAGCCAAGAACTTGGTGGAGGGGGGGCGCATGACAGATGCGGAGTGGTGGTGGATTTTCGGTGGGGAAGTGCGAGCGCTCCAGGAGCTAGCTGTGATGACCCTATCACCGACGGAACCCTCAAAGACGGCAGTGCCGTGCCCCCGGCAGCAGTGGAAGAAGATGAAGGGGGGGCTGAAGAGGAGGGAGCCGAGGTGGAAGAGTGCACCATCGACTGGACTGAATTTGGGAGCATAGGTAAGAAGAACAAGAAGCAGGCGGGTGAGTGCTCCAAGAGGAAGAGGAAGGAGAAGGGAAAGGGGCCATGCAAGCGGAAGGGGAAAGGAAATCAGCCAGTAGAGGAGGAGGAGGAGGAGGAGGAGGAGGAGGAGGAGGAGGAGAGGAGGACGAGGAGGAAGAGGAGGAGGAGGAGGAGGAGGAGGAGGAGGAGGAGGAGGAGGAGGAGGAGGAAGAGGAGGATGGGGGGGGAGGGGGAGGAGGAGGAGGAGGAGGAGGAGGAGGAGGAGGAGGAGGAGGAGGAGGCGGAGGAGGACCAGGAGGACCAGGAGGGGGAGGACCAGGAGGAGGAGGAAGGGTAGGAGGTGGAGGAGGAGTAGGAGGAAGAGGAGGTGGATGAGGAGTAGGAGTAGTAGGATGTGTAGTGTGGCGAGGGAAGGATCAAAAATACGACCGAAATATTGATTTTTTAGCGTATTATACGGTATCGTATTATACGGTCGTTTAAAACGGTTTAGTACGGTGAAATGTTAATATTAAAAATACGGTCGTTTTTTTTCGGCCGAAATTTTAACTGATAAAGTGTACACCGAATTTCAACAATCAGCCCCGTCGAGTTCAATATGGGGGATTTCATGAGAAGTCTTGTCATTCTTGCTCGAATTTGGGCCGAGTCGCGCATGTCAGGAAAATGTCGTGGCGCGACATTTTGACAT